AATAAATTTTACATATCATACCTATTCAAAAATACTGATTATATGAGAACACCAAGGAAGAAACCATATGATCACCTTGAAGGATCAAGAAATCTAGGAGCTTTGCATTTTGAGACCAAGAGAAAAAACAACAGTTGGCCATCAGAACAGATCAATAATGATTGCAAGCTCACATACTTTAGAAAGACTAATGAATGTATCTTATCGTGGGTATATGAAAGACAAAAAAAAATCAAAAGAAACACGAGAGGTTTGTGACTATCAATCCAGGAGTTCAAACTCCATTTGTAATGTACTCACCTACAAAAGGAATCACAGAGGTTGGTAAGAATGATTCGCAGAGGTTGGTGAGACTTTGCTTGCATCCAGTCAAACTAAGTTCGGTAAGGGACAAGCTTAAGAACTCAAGTTCTAAGAGAAAGAAAAAGAAGGCTGAAAGAATTGATAAAGCAATCTCAAGAATTTTTAGAAGGATCCGGAACCTGAGGAACGAATTACACAAGAAACTGTGAATTATCTTGCAAAAAATTATAATGTTGTTATTATACCCGAATTCAATGTTTCAAACATGGTGAGACGAGAAAAGAGAAAAATCAATTCAAAAACTGTGCGAAGTATGTTAACATGGTCACATTACTCATTCCGACAACGGTTGAAACACAAAGCCGATGAGACTGGTATGAAAATGATCATACAAAATGAAGCCTATACCTCAAAAACATGTTCTGCATGTGGAAACATACAGAATATTGGAGGGAGAAAAGTTTACAAGTGCAAGGGATGCGATGTGATTATGGACAGGGATGCAAATGGAGCGCGGGGGATATTCCTTCGCGCGTTGCTTGATGGAGCCATATGCATGCATATGTAGGAATTGGTAATCATGCTTAGCAAAGCTTAGTATAGATTATTAATGATCCATCCGTACATGTTGAAACTCACTTTTTTGTATATGAAATTTTTATATATGAATCAAAGTAAAGGTAAACGTCCCGATTTGGGTCGTCAAGTTCGTGATAAAAAAGTTAGAAAAATGCTGTTAGTAGATATACATCGCTTCTTTGAGAAAATGTGTGGAACTTATTCGAAACTAAACTGTTACCCTTTGACGTGACGACCACTTTCTCTAGGAGTATGCATATTTTCCAACAAGGAAAATAATTTTCGCGTAAAATTAGGAAAAATTGTAATAAATATGATAGTACTTCATAAACTCAAAGTAATTATAACAGGTAAAGAATTAAAAATCGATTCAAGTTAAATATTCATGCACGCATCATAGCTATTATTCCTTCCCTATCCTTCAACGTCAAAAATTTAAATAGTCATGTTGCCAGAAATGAAACATTTTTATGAAAGGCAATCAATAGGGATATAAACAATTAATTATCGATCAAGCAAATGAATATGACAACGAGTGTATTAAATATAATTTATTGCCGAACCAAAATTATAAATCATCTCCTAGTGTTGTCTGTGGAATGAGGAAGGTCAGAGACACTTTTGGCAATGGCTCATGAAATTGCATATGCCATCACACGATACATAAGCATGTTTTATTCCGTGATTTCCAACTCCGAATCATTCAACACTTCTTTAAGAGTTGGTTAACATCGGATGCTGAATGAATGTCCAAATAGGACTTCACTAAATATTATTTTTGGTGTAAGTCACGTGATAGGTTGTTTTTTTATTTAAGGGTCATACAAACACGTCGAAAAATCAAATTCGTTTACGATACATTTATTATTCACTAGAACTAAAGACAGAATTTCTTTCCATTCTAAATTTAGATTTGTTATCTTTGTTGAATGATTTTATAGATGATTTGGTAAGCCTTGTCTTATCCACACCGATTGCGCTGATTTGATATCTCTTTTGATTGGTGATTCTAATTCAAAGACATGAGCTGTTTAATTCATAGTCTGTGCTGCACATAGAGGAATTTACAAATTAACAGTTCTTAAATTTATCTGGATCCGCCACCCAGAATGATAATGAATTGAATTTTTCCAAACGAGCAAATAATATTTCGGCATAACCGATATTTTCAATTCCTTGTGAAGTCGATAGATTATCTTCCATTTCGGTTGATGCGACAGAGTGGGAAGATTTAATTCCAGAAGTTTACTTTGCAAATTATGAATCATGGTGAATAGAAACTTAAGTGCATGACTTCTGAAAAATGACCCTTACTCTACCAAATTTACCAATTTGCATATGATATAATTTCTCAAATAAATTGAATTTGTCTTCTTAATAAATGATCTGAACTGTCTTATTGTAAAATAAACTACTAATTTAATAATCATATTCTCCAGTTCCATTTTCAACTTCAGTGTCATTTGGTTCCTCTACATTATAAAAAATTAATAAGGGCTTAAAATTATAAAATTTTAATAACTGAATAGATATTTATTATTCACTCACCATTATCAAAATATTTCTCTACAAAAAATTATTTTTTTTTAAAAAAATAAAATAAAATAATGAATGAGCCAATTCATAAATAATTTAAATTCTCAGATTAGTACATACCATGTATTTCTTGTTCTTGCGTATAAATATCATCGTATTCCTCATTAAAATCTACCGAATCATAATCAAAGTCGGGCTAACAAACGATAACATTTTAACATGCATTTTGATAATTAATTAGGTAAATCAAAAGCTACAGGTGTTTCATCCTTCCCCCTAAATCACAGCATTATTTAAACTTACATCTTCACCAGACATGAATTTCTCTCTCATTATATCCACAAGATCAGCTCGAAGTTGTTCCTTTTCTTCATCAGATATCTGCGGAACTTCGTTATTCACAGCAGATGTCACACTATCATTTCCTTCCATTTCAATATTTTCTACATTAACTACTTTCGCCTTTTCCTCGATTTCATCTTCTTCTTCGTCCTCTTCCTCTTCTTCTTGCTCATTTTGAATCCTTCTTTCTTCTAATAACCTATCGTGAATATAATTTTGATCTAGATCATAATAAACTCTATTGATTAAATTAACATCATCATCAAATGGTTGATATCTTTCTTCTTCAGGAATATATTGACCAACATAATCTTCATATAAACTTGGTTCTCTCATTTCCATTGCTTCATTACTAAAATATGACGTATTGTCGAGTTTTGTTGTAAGATATTTAAATCTTCTATTAAGAATTTGTTTATTATGCCTTGAATTTGGTAAAAGTTGCCTTGATATTATTGGAGGTTCACTTGCTATTGATGAAGAGATTGTATTTCGATTTTGTGTAGAAAGTAATTTGTTTAAATACCAATTTACTTCATAATCATCTACGAAATAAATTTTAATTAAATTATTTTTTTTTTTTTTTAAATTAAAAAAAAAATTCCTGGAAAAGATTTACATATATACGTACTTCTTAAACACTCGAATTTTTCTAATTCATTTTTAGGTAAAAATTTACCCCACCTTGTTAAAAACAATGCGGGATCATTTCTCAATGTTTGTTTTATCACGGATAATTTTTCGTCATCAGTCGCTTCAACCTCGTTCTCTCTCAATGACTTGAATTGTATAGATGATAAATTATTTGATATATAATCCAAAATTTCTTCTTTTATTTTATTTTCCATATTTTTAAAAAAAAAGTGTGAAATGAGAGTGTGTTTTTGCATTAATAATATAGAGTTTACATTTAGCGCATTTATGGATTAAAAAAATTTGTAGATCACAAAAAATTTTTTTCCTTTTGAGGGAAAATTTGTTTCAGCCCTCGGCATATGGATTTTCTTCGGAAAATCATCTGGGTGTTAAATTTAATTTTTTATACTTTAATTTAAATAATAAAAATAATACTTAAAAAAAAAAAAATTACATATAAAAATCTCGTTAAATAATTTGCAAAACTCATTTTTTAATAAATATATTAATTATTTTATTTTTTTGATTTTACTTAAAAATTATATATTTTATTATAAATATTATTATTAATAATAATTTTAATTATTAAATGATATTATTAAAATAATTATTAAACAAATAATATAACTAATAAATATTAATACTTAAAATTAGTAAATTATAATATATATATATATATTAATTATTAAAAATTTATAAAATTTATATAATCTTATATTATAACTTAATATGAACTTAACTTAAAAATATTTATATATAATAAAGAATTTAGGTTAGTTCAAATATTTTTAAATCAAATCAATTTATTTATTTATTTAACTTTGAATTATAAGAATATAATCTAAAAAAATTTAAAGTTTTTTTAGTTATTTACAAAATTATAATTTTAAGTACTTTCTATTCACCAAAACTTTTCATTAAAAAATTTAAAATTTTAATTTAGTTATTATTAAATGATAATTTTATTTAACATTTTATTAAAATATTTAACTAAATTAAATATTTAATTATTTTAATTAAATAATAAATTTAATATTTATACTAGAATAATAATAATTTAATTACTCTAAGGATTTCTTTATTTATATTATAAAACTTACTTTAAATTTATTATATTTTTTCAAAATATAAAAATTAAAATTATATTTTATTATTAAAAATTTACTTTAAATTTCTATATTTTAAATTATATATAATAATTTATTTTATATCTTTAATGTAAATTTATTATTATAAATATATACTAAAATTAAAACTAAAATTTATAATTATTTGTAATAAATTATTATTTAAATTATTACTTTAAAATCATAATTAAAATATAAATAATATATAATAAAATAATAAAATAATATTTAATAATAAGAAATTTATAGTTTATTTATTTCTTATTAATATATTTAATTAAATATTTATTTGTAAAATTTATATTAAAATTTTAGAAATAAATTAATTAAATATGATTAATATCTTCTTTTTAATATTATTATAGTTTTGATTTTTATCATTTTTAGAAAAATCTAAATTATTTAAACCTTTTAAGATATTATTTATTTATTTAATACTTTATATTGATATTTAAGAATAAATATAAGTTTGGTAGAAATTCCAAAAAAAAAGTTAATAATTTTAATTTCATTTGATTTATTTCTATTAATTTATTAACAATAATAAAAATAAAGTAAGATTTTTAAAAGATCATTTAATTGTAACCCATAAAAGTATTTATTTAATTAAAATTCTTTAAATTTTTATTAAATAATTATAATAATAAATTACTTAAAGTTCATATAAATCTAAACCTTTTTCTCATTTGAGCTTAACAGTTTAAATAATTTTAAATAATATTAAAATACAATTCTAAATAAGCAGATAATATGTAAGATTATAGATATGAATTTTATAAAATTATTAAATTCATTAAAAGCAAAGAAAAGCTATATAACAAATTATCAATATCAAGAATCTACAAATTTGTTTAAGTTAATTTACAGTATCTTATTTAATGATTAATGAAAAATCAGGTTCTAACAATTTTTTGATAAAGCATTTGAATCTCATAATGTATCAATGCAAAACCATTCGCAACCTAATTTATCTCATATATGAATCCAAAAATGTATGGATTTGACTTGCTGCTAATCAATTCTACATGAAATCATCAAAATTTTCATGTGTTTGTTCTACCAGAGGTTGTAGCTTCGTTCCTTTCATTTAAAGCCCATTTAGGTGATTTAGGTGAACATTTTCAGCCGCATACAAAGTTCTTTATTTGACTATTTCTCCGATAAAAGTGAAAACCACAATGCGATGCAATAAATAGACTGCATCACGTGTCGCAGGTTATTTCTTTTATGCAAGTGATCAGCGGCTGATTTTTAAAAAACAAATAAATTTCACCGATGCGCAAATGTTTTGTTAGAATGTTATCGTTATTGTCTTCCAAACATAATTCTTATTATTTTTTTTAAAAAAAAAAAGTTAAATAAGTGAAACTACAATAATGGAAGAACACGCTTTAGAAGATGATTTAGAACGATTACTAGAAAATCAAGACTTTCATGATATAACCATTGTGTGTTCTGATAAGAACACTTTAGGAGCCAGTAAAAACATCTTGGCAGCTCGTTCTAATGTATTCTACAACAAAATTATCGATCGAATTAATGACCAAAAATTTACTTACATGGAATTTGATAATATTAACTCAACGACGATGAAATTTATTTTAAAATATTTATACACGTCAAAAATACTTGAAGAGACTTTAAATAATGTTGAAAATATTATTGAATTATATTACGCGGCAATTTTTTTTGAATTATCTGAATTACAAACGCAACTCGTTAAGAGCATGATTTTTCATATGGAAATCAATGGTGAAGAATTGGTCAAAAAACTTTTATCACAATTTGTTGTAAAGTTTCCATCTTTGGAAACTGAGAATAAAATGTCTCAACTATTAATCGAATCGGTAGCAAAAATTCATTTAAATCTAGAAAAAGATTCTTTATCATTAAAGGGACTGAGATATCTATTATGCAAAACGTTAAGTGCCAAAATACCTTTTGCTACACATGAGATCGATTTGTTTAATCGTGTTAAGTTCGATACATCAGAGGAGGTTGACAAATATTCTCTTTTGCCCTATATCGATCTACGCCGAATTGATTCGGATACCCTTGTAAATGATATTGAACCATTAAAATTATTTCCACAAGATAGGCTTATGGATACTTATCGGTTCAAGGCACAAGAAAATGGAAAAAATCTAAAATCTATTCGTGGGATTCCAATATTTAGGTGGAAGGGTTATAACAATAACGATTCATATAATAATTCTTTAAGTATTTCTAAGGATGGATTTACTTTAGAAGCAAGTAGGGATCTTAATAATTATGCGCACAAGACGACAGATTTTAGCATTAAAGGTAACGGAATATATAAATGGAGTATTTCGGTTGAAACAAATAAAACATGTTATATTGGAATATGTGAAAACACTCAATTACATAAAGCCGAGGATTACTGTGGTTGGGTTCTTGGATCCAGTGGTTATATTTATCACGAAAATGATAGTAAATGGTATAACGCAAAATTTAAAACAAATGATGTCATCACCGTTATTTTAAATATGACTGAGAAAACCTGTGAATTTTTAATTAATGGTAAGACTACTGGTGTTATCACCGGATGGGTAAATCTTCCTTCTGAAGTTTATCCATTTGTTTCGTTAAAAAAAGGTTGTAAATTACGTATTATTCAAGATGAGACTATGTAATTATTTTATTATCATGTACTTTTTCCTTTTTTGTTTATTTTATAAATTTAACTCTCTAATAATCGAATTGAACACGACTAATTTGCTATTTATTGAAATGAAATATACCGTCATTTTATTTGCGGGAAACCATTTTATCACAAATTTCAATTTAATCAATACTAAATTCTTTGCTCACTCCATACTGTAATTGATCACTGTAAAGAAATACAAATGCTCTATATCTTGTAGTGTTCCAATTATTATCAATTTTAAAAAATAAACTACCCACGACCGGATTATCACGCTATTTTTTTTTTTTTTTTTGATAAAAAAAAAAAATTAATATTTCCTTTTTTTTTTTAATTATTATAAAACCAAGGAAATGCTTACCACTTCTGAAAATACGGTATCCCCAAGTTCAAATTCGTCATAAATCTCAATAATTTCTACGATAACTTTATCTATGGAAGAATATTAAAATTTATTAAAAATTTTGAAATTCAAAAGAAGAAACTAAATATCACTATTTTATTTGGTTTACCAGAACTTTTGCATTCGTTACACCACCAACTAACGTTCTGTACAGAGCCTTTTTTCCATGGGCCCGGTCCTGGTGCTTTTATATATTTATTTATATTACATATTTTTGCGTATATGAATTAAAAAAAATAATAAAATAATTAAAGCACATGATACCTGGAACATGAATCGTAACGTCGTCAGCCCGTTTCACTATTTGAGATGGAATAGTGATGACAATTTTCGTGAATAACATGAAAAAAAGCAATAAATTACACAATATCCT